AAAGTCTTCCCCTCCAGATCGAGTTATCCTGAGTGGCTGCGACAACTATTCGAGCGAGCAGGCTCCATTCACCCTGATCCTAGGAACGGAGAGAAAATTATCAAGCAGGGAAGGTGAGCTAAGAATAATATCCTATCTCAGGCTATTTTGAGTTCTCTGAGACAACAATTTCAGTGCTTAATTTTCTAGTCCATATCTGACACCGTCAGTGGAGCGTTTTGTATGTTGGAAAATATAACAATCCATCATTTTAGCAAATGAGATTACTACTGTCGGAATTACTTCTTTTAGGAAAGGCTTACAATCAACTGAAGACAATTCTCCCATGCAGACGAATCAACCTCGTGGAAAACGCTCAAGAAAGAGTATTTTTCTAGTAGGACAGAAGTTATCAGTGGAAGACAGTGGATGGGCAGTTCAGGCGTTAGATCCGACTTCCAGCCTCCAAGAACCTCTTCCAGAACTGACTCGACGCAAGGAGTCTCGACTGGTTGCCCTAAATGGTACATCAAACGGTGCTCCATTCTGAGGGAGTCTTATTATTGGTTGAGTTACATGAGGAACGGATGAATCAATAACTTGCCTGCGAGTTTCAATTTCACTAGCCTTGACACCTTAGCTAGTTACTGGTGTCTTCGTGGGATTTTTCGTTTCATTCCTGACCACGCTGTGTATCTGGATTCATCACAGGTTTTCAAAAGCAATACCTATCTCCCTTATATATCCTAAAAACAGATCGGTGTATAATTTCCTACTACTATATACTCCGGATTTAAAGCTGACAAGACAGCGAACTCGTGGCCTAATGGTTAGGACGTTTACCTCTGATCGGAAGACGCGAACTCGACACTCGTGTGTGATAGCAATCGCAGCTGCAACACTGGAGTTGTGTATCACTAGTTGACGAGGGATAATTCTAGTGTCCAATGTTTATGTTACTCGCTAATTATAAGTAACAATGAAATTTTTCTACCATACTGGTCATGTCACGCTCACTATCACATGTGTACAGCTTGATGTGTACAGCTTGAATCAGATCGGAGTAGAATTTCCTGATAACATAAATGAATGTTACTGAACCTTATTAAGTGTCATTTAGATTATTCTCCTTGCATACAAAACTCGGATTCATCCCAGTTCGCAATGGCATCAACCAGGATGGGTAGATCATGAAAAACAGATCGGTGTACAATTACCTAAAACTTCACTATATAGACTGAATTGTGCATAATATGTAAGATTATCGGAGGGCTATAGATGTTAAACAAGTATACTATTATGATTAAAATTCATAAGATAGTCACCGTGCCCGCGCCTATTAGGAAGCCTCAAACAACCTGACCCCCACCGGTTTGGATATTCACGCTGTCATTGCGTACCTGTAAAATGCGTTTAATATCTAAATGCTTTTGCTCAACTGACTCTTGGGCTAAGTTCCGAACTCGTGTCTACATTCAGGACTGGCCTACGTGATTGGTGGAATGGTACACTCAGAGCTGTCAACGTCAGTAGTGGAATTCAACCCCAAGACCGGTAGGTGGCGACGAGTCGCGTCGAATCTTCTCGCCCGCTGGGCACACGCTGCAGCTGGGTTTGGCTGCGGCATCATCTCCTGTGGAGGATGGAAGGGCAATACCGCAATTGCGTTTGCTGAGCTCTTTCTGCCAGCAAAAAACAAGTAAGCACAATATAGTGGTTTCTGCAGAGATAAGTGACAATCGACTTTTTACTTTTTGGCTTTCAGTAGTTCTGGTGGGGCAATCATGCCTATTCGAGAGATTGTAGGAGTGTAATCCGTGATTATACTCAGTGCACTACAAATATCGTGCCCAGTCCCGTATAGGAAGAGAAGGGATAAGACCAGTAGTAGTTATTTACTGTATGAATGAACTCAGTGGTGGTACAAATTCCCAACGCGCGCCAAATGCGGGCCTTGCACACGCGTCTGCCTGTTGGCGTGGTCTGGGCGTGAATGCGTCAAGGTCATGCGAGAGCAAGTCACTGGCCTTTTGATCAACTGCTTGCTCAGCAGCTCTCTACGGCGCCTGTGATTTGCTGACCCAGAAGCTGATATAGGAAGGCAGTCATGTGACGGTTTGCGGGCTTGGCACCGGCGCTGCAAGATGCCCTATATATTTAATTGGAAAATGGGGTTGCGAAGAGCTATAATTCAGTGGAAAATGGTCGTTGGGGCACGATTAAAACATTTTTGTACATTTTTGACACTGGCTCTCAAGGTCGTCGTCAGACACTTACCGCTTCTACATAACATTAAGAATTTCAGGCAACCCGGAAATCTACGCTTCGTACGACCGCTTGCTGATACACTGTTCAAAATGTATAATAAATATTCCAATCCTTACCTAAGGAATTTATTCGTTCAAACAGATCGGTCAACGCGTATCTGCCACTGTATATTCCCGATCTAATTCTGGCAAGAGTGCGGGCTTCTAGTGCAATGGTTAGCACTTTTGCCTCTGTTCTGTGAGATGCGAGTTCAAAACTCAAGTGTGGCAGCAATTTCAGCGGGTACACTAGAGTTGAGTATCCCTAGCTGATGGCGGCTAATGAGTCAGGAATGGATATTCTAGTGCCCCGTTTCCCTGCCGGTAATACCTTCAAAAATGTGTATATATATTTGTTATCGCACTCATCGTCTCCCATAGGTAAGGAAGAAGAAGAGGGGGTGAATTCATGGACCAAATTATATTCGAACTGAAATTTCGAAAACCTTCTCGCTTCCATCGTCAGATTGTTGTGGTAGCTATGACTGATGGTCCTAAGTTAGCCAGTAGTGCCGTCTGCCTCAAATTATATCGGTGGTTGGCGTGTGAATTTTCACCTGCCCACATTTGGTCTCCCGGAGGTTGGCTGCTGGTGGGCTGGCATGACCTTTGTCCCCTCTGCGGTCAGCGTAGTTGTAGGCGAGTCAATATGTTTGCTGGCTTCCCCCACGTCACCTGGCGGACTGATCACTCGTTGCCGTTCACTTGGGTTGTTCTTTGCCTCGCGACTGCCAAGGTGAGATCGTGTTTGATGTTGGTCGCGGGACCTCCGACCTCCACCCCTTTTTTCCGTGGGCATTGGCTCTTGGTGCTGCATACTCGCTTTTCCTACTAGCTCTGGTCGGCTTGATCCGAGCCCTGTGCCAAGCTCTTGGTAGGCAAAGTTCAGGTCGACAGCTCCGTTGATTGCGCCAGTGGAGCACAAACTTTCCAGCACTAGCCTGGCCATTTTCTCATTGGCCCTTCCCATCACCCCCGCATTCTCAAAAGCGAATTCGTGGTCGGGCTGTTGCACATGACCATTGACTAAAGACAGCTTTTCATTGCGATTGATTGCAAGCTGATGTTCGTGCAATCTTGTACCCAGGCGTACAAGACTACGGCTTATTGCTCTGTTGCTGGCAGCGGGTTTTTGGGCTTCACGATTTGTTGTCAGTTTCAGTTTCAGTTTATTTGGTGAGGATAATAGGCAATGCCTTTGAAGACCCCATTGATCTCGTTACAAGCACCGATAAAAATTTACCACTACTAACATCGTATTGGCAAACAGTAAGTAGCATTGTTTTTTACAATATATGTCTGGTTTTTAGAATTCAGACTGGGA